ATAGAAAAGGTATAGTAAAAATACAGTATGAAAGATAAAATGTGGTAAACTTGTGTAGGGCACCACTTAACCATGAATGGAGCTTGCAGGACTAGAAGTACCTTTGGGTATGTCAGTGAGTGATAATGGTGAGTGACTGTGAGGGCCCAGGACATTAGTGTACACTACTACAGTCTTTATAAACAATGGATACTTAGGCTACATTAAATTTATATAATTTTTTTTCTTTTCTCAACAGTAAATTAATCTCAGCTTACTATAACTTTTTGGCTCTTTGGCAATAATACTTAAAACACAAAAACATTGTATAACTATGGAAAAATATTTTCTTTATATCTTTATTCTACAACCTTTTTTCTACTTAAAACATTTTAATTTTACTTTTCTTACTTTTTAAATTTTTTTCATTAAAAACTAAGATACAAACATACATATTAGCCTAAGTCAGGACTGTCAATATCACTGTCTTTTAGCCTTCACAGCTTGTTCCACTGAAAGGTCTTCAGGAGCACTAACATGCATTGAGCCTTCATCTCCTATGCTAACAATGTCTTCTTCTAGAATACCTCCTGAAGGACCTGCCCAAGGCTGTTTTACAGTTAACTCTTAAATAAGTATATGGAATATACTCTAAAATAGCGATAAACCCAAAGTTCCAGATGCTGGAGTGGATACGGAGAGAGGGGAACACTGTTACACTGTTGGTGGAACTATAAACTAATACAGTCTCTATGGAAAGAAGTATGGAGAATCCTCAAAGAACTCGAATTAGACCTCCTGTTTGAGTCTACAATCCCATTACTAGGCATCTACCCAGAAGAAGAAAGTCATTTTATCATAAAGACATTTGCACTAGATTGCTTACTGCAGCTCAATTTACAATTGCTAAGATACAGAAACAACCTAAATGCCCATCGGTCCAGGAATGGATTAACAAACTGTGGTATAATGTATTCAGCCATAAAAGATGGAAACTTTACATCTTTTGTATTAACCTGGATGGAGCTGAAATACATTCTTCTTAGTAAAGTATCACAAGAATGGAAAAGCAAATATCCAATGTACTCAATACTCATATAAAGACAGTAGATGATCTAATACACGCCTACATAAGAGAAAAACTCAATTCAAGTTGGGGGGAGAGGAACAAGGGAAAGGGGAGAAGGGAAAAGGGGAGGGGATTGGTGTGCTACCACTTAATGAGTACAATGTAAAGGTATATGGCATACTTCTTGAGGGCAGGACACAACTATAGGAAGGACTCTACCTTACAAATGCAAATACTGTAACCTAATTGTACCCTCAACTTAACCTGAAATAAAAAATAAACAATAAAAATAAAACAATAAGAAGTATAGTATAATACATTAAACCAGTAACATAGTCTATTTTTATTGCTCTCAAATATTATGTACTACACATAATTATATGTGCTACATTTTGATACACTTGGCAGTACAGTAGATTTGTTTACACCAGCATCAACACAAACACCCAAGTGTTGCAACATAATAATGTCTACATCACTAGGCAACAGAAAATTCTTAGCTTCATTATAATCCCATGGTACCACTGTCATATATGCAGTCTGTTGTTGACTAAAACATCATTATGTGGCACATGACTTTATTACATTTCCCATACACACAACTTTCTTCAAGGATCTAAGAGTTTAGAGTTTAGTTTAAATCTAAGAGTTTAAACTACCACAATATATGTAGCAAACTTAAGGACCTCCTTTCCTTACTTCCTTACCAATGACATGTAGCAATATTTTTACAAGGCATAGAACTACATTTAACATAAATAAATAAAAATAGATATCTATGTGTATACATACATACATACATACATATATATATATATATAGTGGCATATGTGTATCATGGGGGAAAACAAACAAACAAACAAATATACATATATATATATAGAGAGAGAGAATATGAATGCTAAGCTCCAAGAGGACCTGTGCTTTTGGTTTATTCATTGTTGTAACCTCTGTGCCAAGAAGAGGGTCTGGATATAATAGATACCCAACGAATATTTCTTGAATGACCAAACAAGTAAATATTTAGGGCTGAAATAAAAAATAGTAAAATTGTATAGGTACCTATAACAAGGAAAGAAATTGAATAAGTAATTTTAAAAATTCCCACACAGAAAAACCCAGGACTAAATATCTTCACTGATTAATTCTACCAAATACTTAAAAAAGTATTAATACTAATGCTTGCAAACTCTTCCACAAAATAGAAGAGGTGGAGGGAAGGCAGTGCCTGTGGCTCAGTGGGTGGTGGGGCACCTGCTCCATATACTGAGGGTGGTGGGTTCAAACCCAGCCCCCGCTGAACTGCAGCAAAAAAATAGCTGAGTGTTGTGGTGGGCACCTGTAGTCCCAGCTACTTGGGAGGCTGAGGCAAGAGAGTCACCTGGGCTCCAAAGTTGGAGGTTGCTGGACCACAGCACTCTACTGAGGGTTTTTTGAGTCTCTACAAAAAAACAAATAACAACAACAACAACAAAAAAACAGAGGTGGAGGGAACATTTCCCAACTTAAGTTCTATGGGGCCAATATTATCTAGATACCAAAACCAGATAAAGACATCACAAGAAAACTAGAGACTAACATCTCTCATGAGTATAAATGCAAAATAC